CATACCTTTCTAAGTGTAGTACAATATGGAGCCACTCCTTTGACTCTACACGTGCTTACCTACTTTATGAAAGAGGATTGTTCATATACAGCCAAAAGGACTGTATACTGTAACAAATGACAAACTTTCCTCTAAAAACTTGTCACGTATAATGTACCTTATGAATTGCATTTAATGCAATGAGTATAAATAGCCAAGTAGTGTTTCTCTCAGTTATCATCTTCCTCACTCAAAACTTATCCAAGAAGTTATTTCTCTCTCTACTCTCTGTCTAAAAAAAAAGACTCACTTTAACAAGTGAAGAACACATTTCTTCTTACCTTATTTCTTGTAGCAAATCTTTTCTTATTGCTATCTGTAATTTTGTGTGTATCTTAGATTATTTAGATAGATTATGTATCCAATCTCTCCCGCAAACAATCTGTAAAATTTGTATTGATCTTCTTTATCAATATATAATTTTAAAAAGTGAAAGTTGCTCTGTTTGTATTCATCTCCCTCCTTTACAAACTGTTACCTATAAACTCTTGTAGATTCTGTTGAGACCAACAAATTTTGGCTCATCATATGTTGATTTTGATACAGTATATGAGGTATATAAATCTCTTGACACTGAATTGTTAAATCAAATTGAGTCCATGAATGCTAAATTTGTTGACCTAAATAAAAAAACTAAAAAGTGAAAGAATCTTGGTCAACAGATTCAGAGAGGATAAATAAAGTTTCAAACTGAATTACATAAGTGTAGAAAAGCAGAATGAAAATATTTTGGGAGAGAAATCAAATCTATCTGAATTAGAAAAAGGTTTTGAAAAAATAAAGGATGACAAAGATGTTTTAATGGTCATATATGACTTCATACCAAGAGAAGGGATTGATTCATACAGAAAGATAAAAGAGCTTGAAGATTTGAATTTCAAAATAGAACAGACTGAGCAGACACTTAATCTGTTGGCTAGTAATCCTATGGATACTAGATTCTATAATCCATAGATGGGTTTGATAATGAATGAAAATTCTATATTAAAAAATGCTCCAACAAATTTGTATAATTTTTCAAAAAATAAGCATATTTCAAAATGTGTCAAAAAATTCATGTTCAAATCCTATAAATGAAAATCTTGTTGAAAGAATACCTTCGGATAAGTTTTTGTTAAATCTGGATCCTCCTCTCCTAATTCTAAAAATAAAGGAAAGGAGAAGGTTTGTGAAGATTCTAAATCTGATTGTGATAATTCTAAAAATGTTGTTCAGACTTGTGAAAGTAACAAGAAATTCGAGTATGGATACATTGGTTTTGATTTGTTCAAAACTAAAAGTTATGAAGATAGAGAACCATATCTCTCTTACAAAGACTATGAATATACTAGTCAAAGTTCAACGTCTGAAAGCAAATCTGAAAAGATGAAGGATAACTCTGAATATGTCATTAAGAACTCTGAACGTTGTATTCAAAATTTTGAGTAGTATACTCAAAGTTCATATAAAAAGTCTGAAGTTACTAATCAGATAGAAGAACCAACACAAACTGATTCTAATCTTAAAAATAAGGATGAGACAAAATCTTCTGAATGTGTTGAAAATCAAGAATTTTACAAGTTATCTGAGTTCATAGACAAAATGACTCGAGATAAGTTTGATGAAATGATAAATGCTTCAAAATCTGATTTAGACAAAGAAGAAGATATATAAACTCATGTTGTGATTAATAAGGATGGATATCTTGTTTATAAAACTTTAAATGACGTGCTTGATGAAGATAAACTCAAATCTGAAACAAAATTGCCAAATGAGTTGTTTGGTCATGTTTTCTTAAAAAACAGATGTAAATTTAGATTAATCTACTCAAGGTCAATTAATTGAGAGAAGTTGCATTTGACCCAAATTCGAGATTTCAGTTTCCTCCACCAAGTATGTATCATCATTTTTCTAATAGTGGAATATTATTATTATTCTGTATTCTTTTAATTCTATTTGTAAATGCAGATAAGTATTATCTCTGTGATGCTGCATACCCCAATACCCGTGGACTTTTGACTCCGTATCGCAATGCATGTTATTGGTTATCTGATTTTCGACGCCAACATCCGGTAACTAAAGAAGAAAAGTTCAACCATGCACATGCACAACCTAGAAACGTTAATGAAAGTGCATATGGTATCTTGAAAGCAAGATTCCCAATTTCTGAAGCAAATGACTTGTTATCCTTATCCAAAACAAATAGAGGTAGTAGTTAGTTGCTTGTTTTGCAATCCATAATTTTATAAGAAGATGTAATATCCAAGATCAACTCTTTATGCAATATGATGAGAATGCCATGTTTACTGCGGAAGAGCAACATGGAGGATGCATTGAAGAAGAAGTCGTTGAAGTACAATGGGGGGATTCTCAAGACATTGGATATATGGCTAATCTACGGGATCAGATTGTTACTCAACTGTTTTCAAATGCTTCGAATTAATTTTTATTGTCTAGGATGAAAAACAAACAATTTCTTTTTGGTATTAAAGTTTTATATCCCGTTTGTATTTAAGTATGAACGACCATTAATATATTTTACTATTTAATTTGACGTATGAAAATTGTATTTTGTTATCTTATTTGACAGTTAATCATATGAAACAAAGTAAAATAGTATTATTTTTTATTGACATGCATTTATTTAAGATACGCATTTTGTTTTCTTTCCTTCCATTAAACTATTAATAACAAAAATAATTACATATTATTCAACATATAATTAAAAATAGAGTTATAATGGTCATTTTATTGTTGGCAAACACTTACTAAAAACATTTGGTAATCACTCTTACCCGGGACAACACTTAGGGGCTGTTTACCTAAATACTTACCCGGTAAGCGCTTACCGTTAGGAGTCAACACTATAATTTATTTTCTAGGTAAGATTGTAGTATATCAAAATGGTATGTGTGCAACAATATATATGGTAAGCGCTTACCCGGGTAAGAGTCGTCACCCTCATTTACCGGATAAGACTCTCTATCCTTATCATCGCTCTTACCAGGTAAGATTCTTGGGTTTTGCCATGTTCATCCAGTGAGGAAAATTGCCCGGTAAACATCTACCGGGTAAGCGTTTAGTAAACGACCCCTTACTTGGGTCAGCACTCTATCCAGATAACACTTACCCAGTAAGAGTTGATAAACGGCCCCTTAGAGTAAATTGCAGGCTTACTCCTTGAAGTATTCATCAACGTGGCTTAAAATATTGAGTTTTTTTTTTTTTTTTTTTTTTTTTTTTTTTTTTTTCTGTTTTCTTTTATTTTTTCCGATCTTTAATACATATTTTGTTCTCTCTTCACGTATATGTGTTCTTCTTTATCTTATTTGATCTTTTGGTTTAGGTTACCTTGGTTGGTTGTTAATGTGATATCAACTATACACTACAACAATATTAGGTATATAGGATGTCTGAAATTTTTAAGCGTTCTAATAAAATACTCTAAGGACTTCAATTTATAGGACCAAACAAATAGATTTAAAGAGCGTTTTTAGACGTTTTAACAAAGTTTTTATGACACTTTGAAAATAAAATGACGTATTAGCTTTTTTATGGGATGTTATTTGAAAAAATATCTTATAAATACAAATGTTCTATAGAAAGTTGGATTTACAAGACACTTATTAAAATTGTGCTATAAATAATAGATGTGATCATTTGCAGGCCTGTGTTGAACCCTTGCCGGGCCTAACTTGTTTTTTTGTCCAACGAGCCTAATATTGTAAAGTCAAACCCTTTTTTTTGGGCTTGACAACTTCCCATTGCCCGTCCTATAAACGGGTCAAGTTTGCCTACGGGTTAACGGGCCTAAAAAGTGTAACTCTTATAAATCGGTAAACTTGATCACTAACAACTAATTAACAAATGTTGAACCAAAAAGTAAAGAAAAAATCCGTTGCAATTAACATTTTAAGCAAGTAAAGCGACCATTGGATCTCAACAAGTAGATAAAGAAATGGAAAACAAAATTCAGAGTTGAACCTTTTAATGAGATCGTTAAGAGGTAAACAAACAACTCCTTAGCCTTTTGGTTTCTCAAGAATAATCAAAGAGTCTCACCTATAACTTTAATAATTTAATTTTAAAATATATTAGTATAATTTTAATTAATGATAAAAAAATATTAATTATAAAATATAAGCAGACTAGACGGGCCTCTCCAATTTACTCTATATAATACTAGAATGGTACTCGTACAATGCAGCGAAATACATCTTGATTTTAATATTTCATTTTATTCTTTATCTCAGTCGATGTTATAATATGGTCTTACGTGATTTTGAAAAAACGATGATGTTTTTATTTTTGAATAAAATATAAATTTAAAGATATTATAAAAATTTGTCAAAAATATATTGATATTAGTATCAAATTAACTATTTAATAATATTATTTTCTTATACAGATAATAATTAATTATTTTGTTAGAACTCGATAATTATTTTAATTATATTTTAAAATTAGATGTTTATACTCAAATTGATTATTTTTATCTGCAGTTAGTTACACGAATTCAAACATGAAGCTTTAATAAGTTGTACTTATGCATAATTTACTTGTAATCTTGAATTTTAAATAATATACATTAATATACAATACTTTATGCATAAAAAATAATTTTTAAGAGTTTTTATCAAATCATTTATAATATAATATAAATTAACCGAGATTTAAATTATATTCATTCCGAATAGCTGACGAGTCGGCTCGATCCCTCCAAACCACTATTAAATCTACAATTTACTCTGTATAATATTAAGCCAATAAGTCCAAAATGGAGTTTGTCCACGACTCCCGCTACCTGCCATAACCGAAGAAGAAGCAGCCACCAGCCTCACCTCTTTTACGATTATCCTCGGTACGTGACGGCCTCTAGCGTCGCCGTCACGCCGATCTCCGCCACGTGTCATCTAAACTTCCACTGACCTCAGATAACCTCATCCCCCTGATTCTCCTAAATATATAAATACGCTATCTTCTTTAACCCTCTACCTCCTCGAATTGCGTGATTTTGTCAACCGATGAAATTCAATCTTGTCTGATATTCATCCAATTTCAAAAATCCCGTAGCGTCGTCGGAGATAAACTGTGTCGCCGGAGAACGATGGATCATGCCGCCGATGCTTTCCGGACGGATTTGATGACCATAACACGGTTTGTGCTGAATGAGCAGTCGAAGCATCCGGAGTCACGTGGTGATTTCAGCATCTTGCTTAGTCACATTGTTCTTGGTTGCAAGTTCGTTTGCGCCGCTGTTAATAAGGTCTTCTTACTTTCCCCTGTTTAAATCGATTGTGTTCTTCTGATGCACATTTTTTACAAAGCGAATTGACCTGTTAACAATTGTTTTGTCGTCTTAATTGCAAACTAACCTCAACTAACAAACGTATTTGGTTAATTTTTGAAGAGGCCTTTGATTCATCATGAAGAAATTGATGTCCCTAAATTACGTATCACGTTTACAGATTTATATATTTGTTGATTTGTTCAAAAGATCTGTAGATTTGTCCAATCAATTGTTTTCTAGGGCTGTTTGGTTGGTTTTTCGTTAAGTCCGTACGAGTAGAGTTGCATATATGGATGAATCTGTTTGTATGTATCGATAAGGTTTTTGTTTTGGTGGTCCCTTTCAGAAGGAATGAGCTTATTTTTTAATTGAGAGGGGAAGTTTGGGTTGATCGAAAAGCTGCGAGTCCTGTTAAACTGCTTAAGGGGGAGATAGGAATTTTTCAAGTGGTGATATCATTTGACTGTAAGAAACGTATAAAAGTAAGACTAAGAAAATGCCCCAAACGGGATTCGAACTTGCACTTGGGATGGGAGAAGCTACGCAAACCAAATCTACCAAGGGAAACTTGTGTTATTATAGTTTCAAAAAATATATAAGGTTGCATACAACAAAATGATACAATTATACCTTTCCCGACACATAATTTTTTTACACTACATAGAGGAATAAAACGGTGGTCCGTGCGACTGTACCCACTAGTGTGGGTCTGCCCCAGGTTTCTTGTAGATTTTAGGTTGGACCTTTTCTTTTCGATGAATGGAGGATCATTCAAGGGTCTAAATCTGAAAGTCAAATAGACTATATGTAGGGCATTGATGAAGTATAACATCATTCATTTCTACTTTTGACTTTACGTTGAGTGAATTAAGTCTTTAAACTTTGCGAAAAAAGCACTTCTACACTTGGAGTAGATAATATATATGCATACATCCCAATCATAAACCCTAATTCCGCATACATCCCTGATTCTGAGTGGGACATACTTGGTGTGAATGGCTTGATTTGGTTCATGTGTTGTGCTGATCATGATTAGTGAATAAAATCTAGTCAGGGGTGTTTGATTTTGGCTTGACGAGTTTAATGGGCTTTATAGCTTAAATCGTTAAGTTACACGGATGTGTTCGATTCTGACTTAATGCTAAACCCATTGCTTAATTCATTAAGCCAACTCATGTTCCCTTTACCCATTCAACCATTTTTTTTTCATTTATGCATATCCTTTTCCCTATCTGTCCTTTTCTAGTTCTTTTTGATCAAATAGTTTATCGTTGTTTTTATTAATATCTTATCCACATTTATTACATTTGGTTGTATGTTGTTAAGTTTCTAAATATTGTTTTTAAAGAAATAAAAATTTGATAATGTGTTGTTGAGGGTTAGTAAGCTTAATTAGTGGTTAGCTTAGTTAATTAAGTTATATTAAGGTATTTGATTAACTTAATACTAAGATATTGGCTTAACATGGTAAGTTAACCCATCCTATCTTAATGCATTAAGTTAGGGTCTTTTCCAAATTTACCCTCGCCCTACAATTTTTAATCAGGCGACTTAATAAAAGATACATAGTTTACTAACAAATGCGTAAATTAAAAATTGTAATCAAGCAATGATACTTAATAGTTGTAAATATATTTTAAGCTATTAAGTATTGTGTTATGAACTCGTTGAATTTATACTATTAATGTTATTTTAAGTAATTCATAACTTTTACTTTTTGTCATCTAAAATATATATTAGAACATTCTATTTTCAGTCTAACACTTATGTACACAGAAGGTTAAAATGGTAATATTTGTTATTCGTACTATTTATTCAGGACAAAAATCAAACAACAATTTATCTTAATTCATCCCTGTAGATTACTGCTTAATAGATTCAGAGCTTAAGGGATAAAAAATAAAACAACCCCTTAATCATTGTAGCCAGCTTAATACATATCTGGTGATTGCAAAATTATATGCTAGTTCTTTGAGGAATTAACTGATCCAATTGCTAAATAAGAAAGGCTGAACATTCTGCAAGGAATGATTTGAAGACAACTGTTGTTATAATATAAAGTTTGGTTTGTGCAGGCAGGTTTGGCAAAACTCATTGGACTTGCTGGGGAGACCAATGTGCAGGCAAGTTAACAAAAGATCACTCCTTCTTCATCTTCCTCCACTCATTTCGTGCTTGTGTTTGTAGCAACATGAGAGCATTTTCAACAGATTCTCTATAATTTCTCTAAAAAGTATTACATTTAACTCCAACAGATTCTCTATCTTAGAGATTTCAACATTCATTATATTACTAAAATACTCTATAAATCTATCATCTCGATGAACCTTTTAAAAAGAATTGTATAAAATAATAATAATAATAATTAAATCTTATTGCTGGGAGTAAATAAAAAATTAATTTCTCTTTCCACACATCCATTTTTAGAGAATTCTTTAAACTTGGAGCTTTCTCTATGCTAGAGAACAATATAGAAAATATGTTGGAGGAGCAAAATAGAGAACAAAAGCCTCATTTTCTTTATCTTAGGGTGCCTTTTGGTTTGTAGGATTGTTTTTGAGGGATATGGATTTGGATTGGAATGGATTTGAAATCACTGGTGTGTTTGGTTTGTAGGATTTGGAATGGAATTGAATTCCATTATTTATAAATAATTTATTAAAATTACAAATAATTATAAAAATAATTAATTTACATTTTTATTGATCAATTATTATAGAACAAATGTTTTCAACATTTTTTAAAACTTTATTTCATATAATCGTACAAAATCCCGTGAAATACCGAGCATTCCCTAAGGATTTCAAAATCCTATGTTTGTAGGATTTCAACTAAATCCTAGGATTTCAAATCCGGACAATCCAAGAAACCAAACATAGGATTGGAATGGATTTGTCTCCCCAAATCCATTCTATTCCTTCAAACCAAACGGGACCTTGGAGATGCTCTTATGTGTCTGCTTTGCTTTCAGGGAGAAGAACAGAAGAAATTGGATGTTCTGTCAAATGAAGTTTTTGTCAAGGCTTTGGTCAGCAGTGGAAGAACAGTGAGTGTTTGTAAACATTCTTCGACTTCATATTTTTGTTCCGTTTTCTTCTTAACCGTGTGATTGTGAATCACTCTTCTTCAAGTGCATACTTGTTTCTGAAGAGGATGAAGATGCCATAATTGTGGAACCGTCAAAGCGTGGAAAGTAAGCAAAGCAAATTCTCATGTCATTTTCTTCTTTTTCTTTTAAGTTTTATTTTTATATCAAGAAATTCATATGCAAACAAATTATGCCAGGTATTGTGTTGTTTTTGATCCTCTAGATGGATCTTCCAACATTGACTGCGGTGTATCCATTGGAACTGTATGACAAACTGTTTATTTCTTTTACTTATATTGAAATTTCTTCAAGATAGCTTGGGTTAAATCAAATATTCCTTTTCATCCAGATTTTTGGGATTTACATGATAAAAGATGGTGGTGAGCCATCTTTAGAAGATGTACTGCAGCCTGGAAAGAATATGCTGGCTGCTGGATACTGCATGTATGGTAGTTCTTGCACGGTGAGAACGAATCTCTTTCCTCTTGCATTTGATTGAACAAGTTTATTGTTTATTTTGTGTGGTTGTTGAAGAAACTTGTTTTATTCCATTTTCAAACCAATCTAATTGTTGCCTAGAGTTTCTCATTTTCTCATATAATTTACTCATCGATGTGCATTTTTCAGCTTGTGTTGAGCACTGGTTCTGGTGTGAATGGATTCACTCTTGATCCATCTTTAGGTGAGTTTATACTCACCCATCCAGACATTAAGGTAACCCCTTTTCCATCCTTTCCTATCTTGGTAACACAAGCCTCTCATATGACCTATTTGTAAGGTACAATAGATTCTTTCAGATCATCACTCTTTCTTACACAGTTCCAGTTCATGTCACTATTCTCTAATGGGCTAAAAGGAAATGTCATTAAAGACCTTGCTAGATCAGTTAGGGGCTGTTTGGTTGGTTTTCCATTAAGTCCTGTATGGATAAAGCCATCTGTTGTGGATTAATTCCGTCTTGTATAGATTGGGAAGTTTTTGCTTGGGAGGGTTTTTTCATAGATGGAAGGAATGTGTTCTTTAATTGGTAGGGACAGGTTTGGAAAAACCTTAGCTATCTATATAAAGCTCCCCCTAGAACCTTACTGAATAAGCCACTTTCTATATCGTTAAGCCACTGCCAAACAGTCATGTATAGCTGTCGAATAAGTTGTAAGCCTCATTATTTGTGTATGGTGAAGGGTATATAGGATATTTAACAGATACTCAAAACATTTTCTTAAAATGCTAAACTTTTTAATACAAATAAAGTGGAATTATGTTTAACTCCTTATCGGTTATCCCTTAGGCTGCAACTGTATTTGGATTTTGTTTACTTATGTTTGCATGTCATTTTTTAAATTATTACTCCCTCCATCACAAAATAAGTGTCCACAATTAAAAAGACACGCTGGTTTAGAAAAGTGTAATTATTGCACTTTTGATGAACTAAATGACAATTTTATCCCTAATAATACAATGAGTAATTAGTTTCTCCATCTCATAATTAAGGGTAGAATGGAAAAGTATGCGCTTATTTTTAAAAAACCGGACACTTATTTTGGGATAAAAACTAAAATAGAAATGTGGACACTTACTTTAGGACAAATGGAATAACATGGTAATATTATGTTTACTGTTTGCATCTGATTCCTTCCTACACAGATTCCAAAGAAAGGAAAGATTTATTCAGTTAATGAAGGAAATGCTAAGAACTGGGATGGTCCCACTGCAAAGTATGCTGATTATGTTCTGTCCTTTTTTCTGTTAATGTCTTTATCATCTGTTTTTGACTTTCTTAGAGTTTCAGGTATGTGGAAAAATGCAAGTTTCCCACTGATGGTTCATCTGCAAAATCTTTAAGATATATTGGAAGGTATGCTTGAAGCTTTCTTAAAACAGATTTGGAAATTTGGATTTCGTGGAAGGAATTGGATTTGGAATGTTTTGTGTGTTTGGTTTGTAAGATTTGGAATAGAATTGAATTCCATTTGTGATAAATAAATTTATGAAAACAAATTATAAAAATGATTAATTTACCTTTTTATTAATTGATTATTACAAAACAAATGTTCTTTATCATATATTGAAAACATTATTACATACGAATCCTACGAAATCCTGAGAAATGCCAACAACACCTGTGGGATTTCAAAATTCTATGTTTGTTGGATTTCAATGAAATCCTGAAAATCCTTCAAACCAAGCATGGGATTGGAATGGAATCCAATTCCAAATCCCCCCAAATCCAATTTAAACCTGCAGACCGAACGGGAGGTGGTTAGTCCATGCCCCTTGGGATAGAGCACAAGTTTGCGTACATCTGCCCTGACCCCACCTCCCATTGGGATATATTGATTCGTTTGTTTTGGTTTATATATATTGTTATTAGAATCGCTGCAGAAAGAATCTGAAAAGCACATTGAAGTTATTGACTGTTGTTTTTGTACACCATGTGTTACAGTATGGTTGCTGATGTTCATCGCACCTTACTTTACGGGGGCGTCTTTTTGTACCCTGCTGATAAGAAGAGCCCAGATGGGAAACTAAGGTACCTTTTAGTTATTTTTCGATGATTATTATGGCACAATGGTTTTCTGTTACCAATTGATTTCGATGTATATGGAACAGGGTTCTCTATGAAGTCTTCCCTATGTCGTTCTTGATGGAACAAGCTGGAGGTCAGTCATTTACTGGAAAGGAGCGGGTAATGACACCTTTAAGACATTTATTGATGCTTCTTGCGTTATACTATCTTGAATTGTATACTTGTTTGGCTTGTCGTTTTGGTTTTGTTGGATCCTATATAGAGTCCGTTTCAGACGAGAACTGCAAATATTTTGAGAACCAGAGAACTCATTTTGTAGTGTATATCCATTGATGGGTATACTCATCGGACAAAATATTTTTGTACAAATGAATATATTCATCAATGAATATACTAATTGGCAATTTTAGATATTTTGATGGAATTTATATGATGTATATTCATCAATGATTTGCCACTATAAAATTAGTTCCTTGGTTCTCATATTATTGTTGATTCTCACATGAATCTTCTCCTAAATATAATAGGAACCTTTCCTCTCTCTACGAAGGCTCTTTTAGAGAGATTCAAAGAGGTTCCACATGTCCTAACATGATAAAAGAACCGGGGTCTAACACCACCTAGGAACTCGACACACTCTTCACCTTTCTTGTTGGGAGTCTGTTTGAAGGGTTCGGTCGATCCCCACATTGACTAAACATAGACCATCAATTCTTCAAACCTTTATATGGGCAGGTTTTGATAGGAACCTAAAATCAATTAGGAACATGAGAACCAGTTACGACGCAACACGTGACATATTCATTAGGATTAAGGACATGTTGTGCATCATGAATGTTGAAACATATTCACCATGAATTTTGGAACAAATTCACCATGAATGTTGGAACATATTCATGATGAATGTGTGATTCATGATAGATGACACTTCCATATTCATAATGAAGAGGGACGTGGCGTGCTGTGGGTGATTCACGGGTTCCTAATCAATTTTGGGCTCAACAAAACTTCCCTCAACTGTTATATGTGTAGGAACCTCTTCTCTCTCTGTAAGAGCTTTTCTAGAGCAAATTCATACGGTTTCATGTGTCAAATGGGATTTCGGTCTGTTTCAAGCAACAAATTACTCCCACCAAAAAGGAAACCCGATAAAACATAAATCTAACGCATTTCATTGGCAGTCACTTGATTTGGTTCCGAAGAAGATACATGAACGATCTCCGATCTTCCTTGGAAGCTATGACGACGTGGAAGAAATCAAGGCATTATATGCTGCTGAAGGAAAGGTATAAAAAAGGAAAGGTATAAAAAGAGAGTTAAGCAAGGGAAATTAGCCTCATCTCCATGTTGTTGTGCAGTTGCTATTTGTGATTTCTATGTTCATAAACCATGCCATACTACTCTCCATATTTGTTATAAAAAGCTACATTTTGTGGCCACGTCGGAGGTTCAAATGCGTTTACTCCGGGCTATCTGCAAAGCAGGTGGTCGTCCTGGGATTAGTCGGCTCGCATTGCAGGTTGGATATCCAGGTTAATAAAAAAAAAAAGAACTACATTTTATGAAGTAGTATTACTATTAAATGTTAGGTAAGATAACAATTGTGGGTTATTTAGGATAATAACCTTTTAATAGATTTTTCTAAACGTATGATCTTCTGATAGGTTTAAGAATGTTTGTGCTTAAAAAAATGATATCTTAAAACCTATCAAAAGGTCGTGCATCTATAAAATATAGATATAGAAGTTTATCTATACTATATTTTAAAGCATTTGACAAAAATTTTTAAAAACAAATTTTTATGTGTTAAGTATCGATTATTGATACATATTACTTGAAATTCAAGATTATAAATAAATTGTGCATAAGTATAACTTATTAAAGCTTCATGTTTGAATTCGTGTAACTAACTGGAGATAAACATAATCAAATAGAGGATAAATATCTCATTTTAAATATAAAAAATCTAAAATATAATTATGATAATCATTGAGTTATAACAAAATACTTAATTATTATCTTTATAGAAAATTATATTGTCAAATAAAAAATAAAAAAAATGAATTAAAGAAATACATAAAAATGAGAAATTTTAAATAATTAGTTGGGTATGAAATCAATATATTTTTTTTCAATTTCTAATGATATCTTCATATTAATATATTATTCAAAAATAAAAACATTATCGTTTTATCAAAATCACATAAAACCATATTATAACATTGATTGAAACAAAAAAAATGGAATACTAAAATCAAATATATTCCGCTGCATCGTGCGAGTGCCTTTTTAGTTTTTCTACAGAGAAATTCCGTTAGGAACCCAAATATGTGATCTCCATGAGCACATTTTTTTTATCTTTTATCCTTTGAAGTAGAAGAAAAATCTACGTACATTTTACCATTTTTATGAACACATTTTTTTTAGAACATACAAAAGCGTTCAAATGGCAGTCAGATAATTTTTACAACCGTTAATTTTAGGGCTTCATAAATTATATTTAGCAAACTAACTGATAATCTAACTATTAAAGCATCTCCAACAGATTCTACAAAATGAAGAAATATGAAGATTTTGAACAATTTCTTTCTTTCAGTAAATTATCTAAAATGGAGAACTCTCAAATAAATATTATTAGGGATGGTGATTTGCCCCGACCCGGTGGGAAACCCGGTTCACCCGACCAGACGGGGACGGGGATTCCCCGCTAAAACGGGTCCCGGGCCGGGGATTCTCGGTAGAATCAAACTAACAAATATTATTCATGGGGTTTGACCGGGGATTTACCAGATTTTGACCGGGGACGGGGTGTTAATCCTAATAACCCGTCGGGGACCGGGCTAGGGCCGGGGGATGTTACTACAAACCGGGGTCGGGAACGGGGATTACAAAACCCGCCCCATCCCCGCCCCATTACCATGCCTAAATGTTATGACGAGAGATAAATATTTTTTTATTATATTCTCACTGGTAAAAGATCTTAAAATTGAATATCTAGGAGAATAAAATAATATTTTATTATATTTATGAAATATTTTAATAATATAATTATTTTTTTAATCTTTAAATAGAATGGTTGTTGATGTTTTTTTTTGAGATTTTAAGTTTGAATTTTTTATTTTTGAGAATTTTTTATAGAATTTGTTGGAGATCTTTTGAGTTTATAATTAATAAGCTAACTGGTGATTGATAAGCAAACTGATAATTGATAAACAAGTTGATAATCTATTAAACAAATGTGAAATGCCAAAAATGAATATGATGAAAATATTACTTAATTCTTATATTATATAAGGCAAGATGCACAAAATAACAATATACTTTCATAAATTTTCTTATTATAATATTGTACTTTTTTTTATTACAACAATCTACATTCATTTTTTTTATTATAGCATTGGGTAAGTTGTTACCTTTTAAAGAGGGTTTTTTTGGGCTGACGTGTCATACTTAAAATGACGTGGAAGACATGTAGGATATGATATGCTTACGTGCCATTGAAAAACTTATTTCAAAAACCATTTTTAAAACAAATACGGTTCCCTCGCTCAAGACTCTTCCAATTTTCCTCTGATAAAACATCGACTCTAAACCCTCGTCTCCCTCATCATTTTCTAGATATGTCATTTTTCTGTAAGTATTCATTTTATGTTTTCAATTTTTGGTTTTTTGATTAGGTTACGTATGGGGTTTTTTTTAATGTCTTTATCACCTGATTTTGCTTACCGTGGATAGGGGTGTTCAAAAACCCGACCAACCCAACGCAAAATAACTCAACCCGAAACAACCCGATGTCTAATCGAGTTGTAAAATTGTCAAACGTAGGTATTGGGTTGATATCAGGTTACTATTATTTGAACCCAACCCAATCCAACCCAATGGACCTGATATCCCTTTATTTATTGGATTTAATATGATTGTTGCATTTCTATTAACTGCACGTGATATACGTAAGAAGTATAGATAAGCTGTATCAAATGATTGATGATTAAAAAGAAATTACGAGTAGAGAAATAACATATTCAAGGTTAAAAAAATATTTTAATGTACCAAAGTATCAACCCGACCAACCCGTACAGGTTGAGTTGGGTTAAGATTTTTCAAACCGCAAGCATTGAGTTGAGTTGTTCAAATGTCTTCAACCCGATCAACCCAACCCACGAGCACCCTTAACCGTGGACAATGGCAAAAACCCAGTTAATTGATTTTAGATTTTTATAAAAATGGAAGAACCTAAAATGTTTGTGAATCGACCCTAGTTGAAAACGTTGCCGTGACAATCACAAAACCCCCCGATCTGTTTTCAAGTTCAATAGAAGTATACGAGGATTAAATTACCGATCTAAAATCATTTTCTACGATGTATTTAAGCAGATCTTTTAAGTCATTTATGTAATATTTATCTTTTTCTGATGCACCAATGAAGGAAATGTCTATGATTTCAATCATTGTCTGAATAGAATCATATGTTGATGACATGTATTTGAAATCTTTTAAGAGTGCTTAATGTGGAACACCATCTCTACTTCCACTTTTTTTTTTTTTTTTTGGTGATTTGACTTTGAGACAAATGTTTATCAAAGACTTATCCGGATAAGTTTTATCGACAAAATTTAACATTATTATTTACTTACCATGTAAGATTTTAATCCACCAAAATGGTATCAAATGTAACAATTTACCCGGTAACCGCTAACCGTGGTAAGAGTCATTGTTCTCGCTTACCAAGTAAGACTCTCGGTACTTGCCTTTGCTCTTACCAGGTAAGATTCTTGATATTTATCATATCCATCAGATAAGGTAATGTTACTTGATAAGCGCTTACCCGGGTAAACGTTTGGTAAACGGCCCCTTAATTTATTATCAAATCACTGTTTCCATTCCAAATTAAGCAAATACGAATTGAATATATGAATGGGTTGAGAAAATGTTGATTTATCTTTATGATGGCATCTTTATCGATATCTATTACATGGGTGTTTTTGTATTTTGGCTGTTTGAATATGCTTAATGGGTCGAGAAAGTGTTTTGAAACTTTTGATATCGACAACATGGAATGCATTGATTTTGTTGCTTTTTTTTAATGAATAAAAAGACACATCGTGTGAAGTACATATTTTTGTGTTCTTGGTAAGGGCTTAGAAAATGGTCTGAGAATGCTTAAATATAACGTGGATTTTAAGAAATTTGTTCAACATGGACCTAAAAGTAGGGAGAAAGTTGATGTATATTTGGATGATTTTGCTGAAGACGTAGGAGCCGTTTACCTAAATGCTTACCCGATAAGCACTTACCGTTAGGAGTCAACACTATAATTTATTTTACTGGGTAAGATTGTAGTACATCAAAATGGTATAATATACAACAATTTACCCGGTAAGCACTTACCCGCGTAAGAGTCTTCTCCCTCACTTACCGAATAAGACTCTCCATCTTCATCACTGCACTTACTGGGTCAGATTTTTGACCCTTGCCATGTTCATCCGGTAAGGAAAATTATCCGGTAAGCACTTCCCAGGTAAGCGTTTAGTAAACGGCCCCTTAAGGGAGTACTTCAGACAAGACGAAATTATTTACCCGATGCTCCTCCTTATGTCACGTATCCTAAGGTGAAGATGAAATTATTGAATTAACACGGAAAATCGGACGTCGTTTAGTGACACACGAATACATTAGAGAAAAAGATGATAATTGCGAGAAGAAGATTTGATGGCTATTGAGCGTAGAAGTTTTTGAATGATCTTAGAGGGGAATTAAAAAGGGATATTATCGTGGAGACCAATGTAAATAACAGCGATCAGGACAACGATATGGTACAAGAAGGTGGAAAACATCCGATGCATAATAAACACATTGGAAGATCATGAAACCTATAGTAGGTGAGAGATATGAAAAGCCAATGCAACCCAAAGGTATTTAAACTTCAAAAAGTGCAACTCAAAGGATATTAGGTGCTCGGTACATTTTTGCAAATTTTAGGAAAAAGTTTACCGGTGTACAATTCAGAAACCTTTTTTAGGCAGCCTTCAAAGCATCATACGAACAATCAAAAAAGTGATAGGTTGAAATCAAAGATATTTAAACTTCAGAAACTGTTTTAAGCTGTTTTAAAGTTGTTTAAGCCTTTTAAACTGTTTTTAGGTTGTTTTAAGCTTTTTAGCTGCTTTTAAGCTATTTTCAGTTGTTTTAAGCTGTTTTAAAGTTGTTTTAGGCTGTTAGAGATGTTTTAAAGTTGTTACAAGGCGATTTGAACTTGATTGAACATCATTGTAATTAGAAGAATGTGACTAGGATGAGTTTTTTTGGTAAATTTTTTTCATCGTTTAGTTTTTGACATTACAAACTATGTAATGAAATTCATGATGAATGAATGAATGATCTTTTGTCAACACTTTTATTCGTGAAATAGTGATCTTTTATAAACATGTTTATTTTTAAT